GATCCTGCAAAGGCTCCAAGTCTCTTCGAAGTTACTATAGCTGCTTACGAAACAATTACAATGGACTTAGAAAGACATGTTAAACATGATGCAGAAAAGTTTAAAGATCGTCAATATGCTTTATTTACTGGTGTACAAATACATGGACCAAATGGAACAGATTATTGTTGGTTAGGAAAAGCAAGTTTATTAATCAAAGGAGAGCTTTCACCACTTGTTCTTTCGGCAAATCCTACTTCACAAGTACAAACTGGATCATCAACCAAGTCACACTGACCCAATAGAAAGTTGCCCAAGACTAAACTATATTTCTTTATATTTTTATATACTATATAGTTTTAATATCTCACGATCGTTTTAATAAAAAAAAAGAATATTTTCTAAACAATTGATTTTGATGGTATGAGTGATTTTGAGCATAATTTAAAGAAGCGAAAAGCAACATTGCTGAGTATGTCAAAGCGCTCTTTTTGAATGACGAGGGCGTAGACGGATGCCTCATCTTCATTTACCGTAGCACCCATTTCTCCTCATACATAATCCAGTAATTAAATTATTAAAAGATAATGTATCGGATCTCATTAAAAAGAACTATTAATGTCTATTTTACGATTTTGTAATACATCTTTATTCAAACGGAAGAGAAGGATGAAAAATGTTCATCATATAAAAATATTAAACTAAACAAGAAAATATTGTCATAGACAATTTGGACAGTTGCGCATTACTGATTTTTAACATTATTTGATTCTGGTAAGTAAATTATTATGAGTTTAGAAGAAAAATCAAATCATATAAATACATAAGAGAAATAAAATATGAATTACTGTTGATAAAACAAGGAATTATCAGAATCTAATGATGTGTTTTACTTTTATAATTACTTAAAGGCAATCGAAAATGAAGATTGCTTCCATCCAACTGCAAAATCACATCAATTTGTTTTTAGTTTTTTGATGAAAAACTCAGAATTATAGTCACAGTTACTAAAACTCTATGACAATACTCTACGGAAGACGTAGTTGAGTAAACACATGCATTTTTTCTTTGTTTCTCTTCTGTAACCATAGAGGATGGACTGTCATTGTTTTTCTTTTATTTTAAACCAGTGAAAATAAATCAAATAAACTGTATATAGTTTTTCACCTGTACGACATATCAAAACTTGTTTTTGTTTCACCTTGTAGTCAAAACTTGATTGTTGAATCGTGAAAAAAGTAAACAAACAACTACTTAGGACATACGAAAAGTAGTGACAGTGATACTTTTCTATTCTATACAGACCGATAGAGAGAAAAAGAAGCTTTATCCTTCTATGCTACTTGATTATACTTCAGCTAATATCATAGTAATGAATTATCTATAAAACTTATGTTCGGCTGGTTATATTAATACTCTTGTTTAAAAGAGACGAGTGAGTATTTTTTTTAATAACTTTTGATAGAAAAAAGATAGAGGATCGCGATTTTTACTGTTGAAAAGAGGAGATAAAGACACATCAAACTGTATGATTCAGGATTTTCTAATCTAACTTCTGTAAGGTCTTTCTTTGACCTTTTTCAAAACCAACATATCTGATAAGTTGTTTACAGTGAATTTGCAATTATTAAGTTTAAGTGCAAACCACTTGTCGAAGAGTATGCATTTTAGTCTAGTCTCTAAAACGATTTTATGACAAAAACTGTAAAAAAAACATTTTTTCGACGTTTAAAAAATTCGACAAAAATACATCGGAAATCAATATTAAAAAAAAACCTATGACATATAATTTGGTGCATATGCGTCTACCCTTTCTAGTGGTGAAAACAGTAGCTCTCTATCTTGTTTCTAGTGAAAGTTATTCAAAAAATACTCATCAATATAAATACCACCAACCAGTAAATACCAGCCGAACATAAGTTTTATCGATTATTCATTACTATGATGTTAGATGAAGTATAATTAAATACCACAGAAAGATAGAGCTTTTTTTTCTCTCTATCAGTTTGTATAGAAAGAAAAATTCCCTTAGCCTATTATAGAGTACAAAAGTGTCACTGCCACTACTTTTGGTATGCCCTAAGTATATATACGCGTGTATATACAATAACGAAAATAGAAAAGAAAAGAAGAACGACAAAAGAAAGAAAGAAAGGAAAGAACGAAAAAGAAGTTATATATAATCTTGTGTATAGCACAGATGATAACATATTCTATCATTCATTCACTGTGACAACCTATTTTCCACAACACAACACAACAACCAGAGAAAGATATTTTTTCTTTATATTTGTAATTCATTGTCAATATGACTAGTCTTGATTCTCACTCTACTAATTTATCTGCTAATGCTTCAGCTGATTCGAATGGTGCTTGTCCTCATTGTCATCAACCTATGAAGAAAAGTGCAACTTCCACTGGTGATTTTCGAACTACTTTAGACAAGTTATTTCCTAATGCATATGGACTTGAAGAATTTGTCTTCGAAACAAAACAAACATTGGTTCCCAAAGGCTTCTATCCGCATGTTAATACATTGGTTTGTGTTGGTTTATGTCGTGACGAGATAAC